GAATAGCTTAATCAATGCAGCTTGTGAAGCACCATGGATTCCAGTGATCACACGACATCTATTCCTTGATCTCAGCTGCACAATCTCAATTAAACAACATATTGGAGAATTTCCTAAAATCTGTTCTCTGCAATTTAGACAAATGAATGATGCATAATGTGCTGGTATAACAAACTACACAGAGCAAGACACACAACCCAGATTGAATGAAATAACTTCCTATTATTAACAGAGTGTAAAGAAAAAAACGCTTTCAATCATTTCAATAATTACTCAATCAAAATCACAGTCTCTCTGTTCCCAGTATGCCCATGGCTCCTCAATCTTTGGGACTATTAATAACAAGTGTCGTTCTCAACCCATCCAAATACAAGAAGTTTGTACTTGTCTCAAGCAGCAACCTTCACATATTAGCAAAATCTTGATGTCACTGGATGTTCACTGGCTATTCCATGTCTTGCTCCCTGGCTCAGTTCATGTTTCCCAGCTCGTCTCTGGTCACAGATTGAAACAGTAAGGGGTCACTATTTTCAATTCAAAAACCCACATTCTGTTTCCATTGGCTCTCCTTGCCTCCTGCCAACTCACTTCCTGCTTCCCTACCATTTCTGGAAACTCCCTAGGACCCACTGTTTATGGTTTTAACTCTTACAGGCAAGATAGCTAGGGTTTGGTTTCAACAGTAAACCACTGTGAACAGACTTCAGTTAACCAAAGAGCTGGAATGTCCAGAAAAGGGCATTGCCCCTCCCATTCATCAGAGAAGGCTTTCCTGTTCCCCTACCTTGACATTCATTCTTATCATTGCTAGGCAGTTATTAGCGTGTTGCAGGAGCACTGTCAGGCTGCCCAAATCACTAAATTGGACTTTGCACTAACACAACCTTGATTGAGCTGAGAGCACATTGTAATACATGAGATAAGGCAATTCCAGCCCCAACTCCACACACTGTTCTCTGGACAGGTTGGCTGGATCCTATCCCTAGGCTGCTATGTAAATCCATTTATATTCAAAATATCAGCTACCCCTTTGTAAAGTTCAATGAACAATGAGGAAAAACAGCCTGAATAAAATGCCTTTCCCAGGCCAGTAGCTGCCTTGCCAGTTGAGGCAGCTACCTCCCTCCCTCTCCAGGGCAGATTCCCCATCTCACCAGCATTACTGCTGCACTGTCCCACCCTCTTTTGGGTACAGCCGGCTCTCTCTGCTGAGCCTTTGTGGCCCGGCTGACACCACTTTCTGTTCTGCATGTGTAATAGATTATGGGTAGGAAGGAACAGCTCTCTCAACGCATGCAGCTTTGCAGGAACTCTAAGTCTAGGCAGGGACTCGAGGCTTGGCTCTCATTTACATACAGGCTCCTCAACACTCTGCTGGAAATGTAAAAAAGGCAGGGATGTCAGTTCCTGAGGCACAAGAATCCAGCTCCCATGAAAGAGCTTAGAGCAGGGGTGACAAGAGGCAGCTCGTGGGCCAGATCCAGCCCTCCAAGTCACCAGATCCAGCCCCCTTACTAGACAGCAGCTGCAGCCACTTTAAACAGCAGACTGCAAACTGCTGTACAGTCTGGATAGGGAGAAGAAAGCTTCGCTCCGTCCCCACACCCTAGCAAAATCCTCCAGCTTCCATTGGCCAGTTTCTGGTCAATAGGAGCTGAGAAATTTTGCTGAGGGCACAGCAGGACTGAAGCCTCTTCACTCCCCGCCGCCCCTCTCTCCCTGTGCTGAGCCAGGTGAAGCAGCTTCCCAACACACAGGCAGAGAGTCTGCAGAACTACTGGCTAGGAGCCGCCTAGGTAAGCCAGAGCCTGCCTCTGGCACCCTACCCCTATCTCCCCACAACTATCTGCCCCACCATTCTGTATCCCCTCCCCCCACCTCCTCCAGATCACAACTCCCTCCCAGACTCTGCATCCCCTCCTACACCCTTTCCCCAGGCCAGAATCCTCTCCTATACCCATAACTCCTCCTGGACCCTTCACCACAAGTTTCTGCCCCAGATCATAACCCCCTCCTTCACCCAAACTCCCTCCCAGATCCCACACTCCTTTCTGCACCCCAGTCATCTATCCCAAGATCCCTTCTACAACCCACCCACCAGCCCAGACCCCACATGCCCTCCGCAGAAGTGCAGCACTTAATCACTTACCAAAATCTTGGCATGACCTCTCCCATTAAAAATTATTTCCCATTCCTGGCCTCAAAGGAGCAAATGAAGCTAGAGAAAAGGGAATTTCTAGCCAGAAGTATGTCTGAGTATCTCATCAGAGAAAGCTCGGAAGGAGGGAAAACATGAAATGTCAGAGCACGATAGGAAAGGAGGGGTGTAAAGCAGGGTACTAAATATAGGGCCAGAAGCTGTAGCCATTAATATATTTTATTCAGAGCTAGGCAGTTAGGAATGGCGAGGTGTGACACTAAATGGTTACAAAGCTTATGCAGAAGTTTTGCTGAAGCTCGTCACTTCTCCTTAACAGAAAGATATCACTGTTAGGAATGGCGAGGTGTGACACTAAATTGTTACAAAGCTTATGCAGAAGTTTTGTTGAAGCTCATCACTTTTCCTTAACAGAAAGATATCACTATCATGCATTACTAGCTGTAGGGTAGTTCAGAGATATTCCCATAGTAATACCATAATAACCATGTTGAAATTATACCCACAGGCAATGAGTAGATGTAGAAAATTAATTACACATTTTTATTTATGAAGTATAGGGGACCTAATTCTTTTCACTGATGTGCCTTGAAAAGTATGGGAGAATAATTCATACCTAATTAAGCCCTTTTTTACATTTCCAGCAGAGTCTGTCAAGGAGCTTGTGTGCAAAAGGGAACAAGGCCTCGACTCCCTGCAACACTGCATGCATTGAAGGTCAAATCCCCAACTTATGCACACCACAGAAGCTCCATTCATGCCAATGGAACCACACTGATTCACAAGAGCTGAGGCACTAGCCCAGTATCTGCCTTTTCTAAGAGTCAGCTTCTGAACCTTAATTTGATGAGCAGTTCTCAATTCAACTGTAATGTAAGCATTTCTATGTTGCATATATAGCAAGGTACTGCAAGCAATGGAATGTCTGTCCCTTTTCATTTCCCTTTGTTAGTTAATGTTACACCAACAGCATCAATTACAGAAACTGAAACCCACATTTAATTGCTTGGTAGACTAATTTTAACTCAGTTAGTTGAATTACTCTAAAGTCAGATCCCTTTTTAGCATTAATCAGGTTATCAGTCTTCTGGATGAGATTCATAACTTCCAAACAGAGAGGACAGAAGTAGCTGAGTAGTGCTTTTCTGGGGTCTAGAATTTCTGAGATGTCCCTTTATAGCGAAACATGCCATTTTAGAATAAAGGCCAATGAAACTTGGCTCAGTTTGTTAAACACCATTTTTATCAAGGAATCTTATTCACTTTCCTCAATGGATTTGTGATGGCAGCTAATACTGTGATAAATCCCATCGATTTTTTTGGGTAAACTAGATGAATTGTTTTGAGCTCTTCCATAAACTTTCTAGGACTAGAAGAAATGCTTGATGATTTGTGTCTGTTGACACCGCTCATTGCCAATTGTTGTACTAAAACATGGCACCGCACATCATTTTCTGTTCTCTGTTTTTAGAATTAGAGTCAAGACCCAAATAGTTATTTAGGGGTCAGTGAACTTAAAAATCTAGCTTCACTTCATGTGCTATTGCTTTGTGTGTGTCACTAATACTGGTTGGAAAATAACTACGTGGATGGAAACCAGCAGAATCAGGCAACCCCATGCATGAGCAACAGTAAATAAAATGTTTCACAGGGCACAGATATAACCCAATGAGCTGCAGGGTCTATCAAATAAGGCCCTAAAGCAATAGTGGTATTACTCCCCTATACAATACATTCAGTTCCAAAACCTGTCTGCCTTCTTTGCTTAAGGATAAGTGGAGCAGACAGAAGGCCAACCTTATTAAATGATTCCATTTCCACCGATAGGCAGAGATGGCATTAGCTTGCTCATAACTACTGCGTCACTACAATCCTTAGCATGATTATGACGGGTAAGTGATCGATACCTGGATGAGACCTGTCAAATATCAATTTATTATCCAGTTTTGCAGTTACAAGGTTAGTGCATTAACCCACCACCACCACAAAGTTAAATGCTTGGCTGTTGCTACTCTAAGATATTTGGTTACAGACTAAAAGATTTATTGGACTTTGTATTCCATCCTCAGGAGTACTAGCCAATGAGAAATTAGTATACATTAATTGATAGGCACTTGGTATAGACACTAAGTTGCTAGTGCTAGAATTTGTACAAAACCAGCTTTAGGTGCATTTCTGTTTGACAAACTGAAACAAGAGCAAAGGGTGGAATAAAATACATTTTGAAGTTGTGTGTCTATCTGGAAAGTTGATTTAGCACCACAGGTGTCACAGACATAAGCCTGCTACCTTTGCATCTCACACAGGATACCTTACGGTGAATGTAGAGGGCAGAAGCATATGTACCAAACCACCAAATATATGCAGATCTTGCAGGTCATGCTGAAAGAGAATGTTAGAGAACGAGTCTGGCTGTGGCTAGGCTAATATAGAATTTTTAGAGCATTAAACCACTTCACTTATTTCATTAACATCTTATAGGAATTTAACATCCATTTTAAAGAAGATGGATAGTAGCATACTGGAATTCTAGTGTTAGGGCTACAACTTTAGTTAGTTCCAAAACCAAATATTATCTACTTAAAGGACAGATTTGTTTATACAAGAAAAGCAGGATTTGTAAACAAATACAGTGAGTGAGTGAGTCTCTCCCTCTCTCTCTCCCCCTCTTCCCGCAAGTAGGACTGGATATGCAGATATGCTAATTGTTAAACAAAGTTGCAGCATTTCACAAATGCGATTAACTGATGTGAATAAAATTCTCACCACATTAAGACACTGATAAGAACAAGCCAGAAATCTACTTAAAATCCTGTTTTATTATGTACCCATTGATAAAATATAAATAAGAATTTTTAAACAAAACTGAATCCATAATTTGATAGGCACATTTGAATAGGTTTCAAGTTTTAATACCAGACATTCTAGTTAGTTTCCCAAGAAAGATTAAAGAAGTTGGCTGAATATCCAGTGCACTCCACAAAAATAAAAATAATTATGTCTAACAATAAGTGGCTCCTTCATTCTAGTATAACTTCTTTAAAAGGCAGAAAAAGTTATTTCAGAAAAAAATGAATGTTTTAAAATGTTAATTCAACCTACATAAGATTCAATATTTGAATGTTTAAAGCTAGTACTTCCAAATTGAAGCCGCAAAACAAATTCCATTATCTAGACTTAAAAATATAGATTTCATATAAAAGCTATGGGAGATGTTCACACATCCCAGAAGAGATGAGGTATTTTAACTGTGCAAAACCTAAATCAGTCTAAGAACATGTAGGATCTTTTCATCCATGAGTGTATAGACAACTGCATTGTCCTCTTCACTGAACTTTGTGCATTCAGTATTTTCCTGGTTACAGACGCCAAGAAAAAGTGCACAGATTGTTGTTAAAAAGTCTTTTAAAAAAGGTAGCAGAATGTAAGGCAAGTTCTCCAGTCTATTAGCATTACAATTCTTAGCCTTTCTTCAAGCAAGTCTGATATAAGGAGGTGGCTTGGATAGTTCTTCATCTGCATCCAAGTCTTGATCAGGAAATTGCACTGGAGAATTAAAGATTCTGTCTCCATAGCCTATGAGGGGAGAGAAAGGGAGGGAAAAAACGAACACAACACATTGTAGCTTCTTGGACAAAATCCAAAATAGGGATGTAAGGGAGTAGTCGACTAATTGCAGAGCCACAGCAAGGTTTGGGCCTGTTCCCGGCACAAGCCAGGACTGAGTAGGTTTCCTATTGACTAATCAACTACTTGATTAGTTAAATCCCCAGGGCTCGACAAACCGCTGTTCCTACTCGCCCGTGGTGAGTAGATTTCAGCCAGTCGCACCGTGCGCCCCATTCACTGGCACTGCGCGCATGCACAGTGCCAGTCTGGCGCATGCATGGTGCAGGGCTGGTGAGTTGCTCTCGCCACAGTTTGTCGAGCCCTGTAAATACCCACCTCTTATAACTAATCCAGAGTTTCTTAGTTTTCAGTCACTATCAGGATTTGGCCTGTGATTCATATTCATGAGTTGGAAGGGAGAAGAAAGTTACTTACTTTGCATAGTGCAAACCAGTTCCACAGTCTGCTGCTGATCCTCACCAGGTTGTAACCATTCCTGCAAATGAGATTTGTGGTTATCTTTCTATTGCTAGTCAAAAATGGATTTTCTTATGCAATCTTATAATCCAATTTAGAAATTATCTTTAAAAGTAAACTTTGATTTTGAGTGTGCATCAGAACCTGAGAGCTACAAGCACTACCATTATGAACTCACCAGTCAACCACACCCCTCAACTGGAACCAGAGGTACACAGGTGACAGCGCGCACAAAAAATTGCAGATACAGGACAGTAGCATGTTAATTACAAAAAAAAACCAAACAAACAAACACACCAAACCAACCAACCACACACATAACGGGGAAAACAGTATTTTTCTTTTATAAAGTTTCAAAGCTGTATTAAGTTAATGTTCAGTAAACTTCCAAAAGAACCACCACAATGTTTTGTTTAGAGTTATGAACTCTTCAGAGTTACAACCTCCATTTGCAAGGTCTATTGTAGTTTATTTGAAACAAGGCTAATATTAATGTACTAGATTTATTATCCCCTTTTCTTCCAAAGGAAGGCTTAGTTTAATATATGGAACTAAAGTGATATTCAGCACTTAATTTACATGTCATTTTTGACATGCATTTACTATAGCCTGATACATTATACAAATCCTTTTTCTTGATGTGTCATGCAGTCAACTTATATTTATCTTCTGATAAAATAGGGGGGGAAATGTGATTTTGTACAAGTTGCTTATTCAATCC